CGGCACGGAGCAGCGGGGGCGTCAGCGAGGGGAGGGGGCGCTGCCTGGGGCAAAGCAGGGGGCTGCAGGGGCAGTTTGCTCTCCCGCCAGCCCCCCGAGGAGCACGCCCGGCCCCTGCGGGGTGGGAGCTGGCTGGCCCAAGGCCAGGCTCAGACAGACCCAGGAGCCCCTGAGGGTCCCTGGGGCGGGAGCCTGTGCAGGGAGCTCCTGGCTGGGGGACGGGGCAGAGTGGGGCCAGGGCTACCCCCGTGTGACAAGTGGGACTGTTCTTAATGTTTCCTCTGAATAGTGTGGGGTGCCTCGTTTCCCTAGCAGTTCTTAAGTATCTAGGGGGTGGGGTAAGGGTGTATGATCATTGCAGTGCCCTAGAGGGCATGTGTCAGGAGTCTGGACACAGAGAATGGCCGACACCCTGTTTCTCAACTGATGCCTGGCCCTTCCCCCCTGCAAGGTGAGAGCTAAGGGTTGGAGAACAAAGGAATCAGGTGACCACCTGGCCCGGAAAGGAACAAAGCCCAGAGGAGGAGGGGCTGGAGGGGTTTTCAGTTTGGGGCTGGCTGGGACATGGAGTGAGTGCAACGGGTTGTCTGGCTCACTGCCCCCAGAATGGACCCAGCTGAGGGTCCCGTTTTGCACCTCAAGCTCTGTTTTAGACCATGTTCCTGTCGCTAATAAACCTTCTTTTTACTGGCTGTGAGAGTCACTCTGACTCGTTGGGTGCAGGACTCTGCTTCCCCAGGAGCACCGCCTGAGCGGACTGCTGTGGGAAGCGCACGGAGAGGCAGAGGATGCTGAATCAGGTCAGACCCAGGAAGGTGGAACTGTGTAGCTGTGTTCCTGAAGACAGGCTCTCACAGAAGGCGACTACCCCAGAGTCCTGACTACTTCATGGGAGCAGTTCAGAGCAGCCCAGGGACGGCAACTGTGGCAGCGGGATGTACTGCACCCGTGGATGGCCTCCTGCAGTAAGTGACTGGGGAGCAGTACACGAAGGGGATTGCGAGACCAGGCCTGAAGGCTCAGAAAGGAGCGGTTTCGGGGGCGTTAACCCCTGGGAGTGTGTACCAGCGAGAAGTACTGTGCAGTAATGGGGTCCCTGGGACTGCAGTGAGCAGTCTCAGGGCGAGGACTGCAGCTCACCCTGCAAAGAGGTGGTGACCTCGAGAAGGGCTGCACCTAGGGTCTTGAAAGTGGGGGCTGAGAACACACGGGCCTGTGAGTCCACAACAACTTGGGAGGACGGGTGATGGCTGTCACCGCTCCTTAAGAAGGACATTTCACCCTGTCAAAAAGAGAGGGTTGAGCATTGGAAAGTTCACCAAAGCAGAGTTAATCGTGCAGCTGGAGAGGATGACGTCTAAGGAACAGATTACCCCAACTGGGGCTTAGCAGGATCTGGGAGCACTGAAGCGGAGCCAGCCCGCCTTCCCCGACCAGACAGGGCTTCACGAGTCCCCATCGGGGACAGACGGACGGGATTGGAGCTGAGTCTGAGAGACAAGAGACCTGGGAGACAGCGAGCCCGAGAAAGAGCTGCAGAAGCAGCAGCCTGAACTCGGTGGGGGGCGGAGAGGCCTAGGGGACCTCCCGGGGTGAGTGGGGATAGATCCGGGGGCCAGTTCCAGGGAACCTGAGACTAAATTGTGCCCTGGTTAAGGAGGGGGGTGATGCCACCTCCTGCCTTTGAGCAGGCTGCATTTGAACCAAGGGGACCCTGCGGAAAAGCCCCGGTGTCTAGCTCCCTTGCTGGGTCCCAAGGCCACAGACTCCGTCAGCCAGATGGTTGGGGATGTGGAGAGGCTCCCACTCCTGACCCCAACCTATTGTCTGTGTGGAGTTTCCTGGGGCACCCCGACCTCCAGTGGGAGCAGAAGGTGATGGTCAATGGGAGACATTCTTGGGGTGGCCAAAGGGCATGGCTGCAAAACCTTCCCACATGCCTGCGAGTGCTATCGACCACCCCTGACCTAAGGGAGGCGTGAAACTGGAAGGGCCTGGTGTAACTCCTACCAAGGAATGGGAGAGATGCTGGGCATCCATGGGAACGTTGGGCTTCGAACTTCCCCAGGTCACCGCTAAGTGACCCCCTCAGTTCGATCTCGAAGGGGGAGAGATGTGACGAAGTGGGACTGTTCTTAATGTTTCCTCTGAATAGTGTGGGGGTGTCGTTTCCCTAGGCGTTCTTAGTATCTAGGGGGTGGGGTGGGTGTATGATCATTGCAGTGCCCTAGAGGGCATGTGTGTGCAGGAGTCTGGACACAGAGAATGGCACACCCTGTTTCTGCAACTGATGCCTGGGCCTTCCCCCTGCAAGGTGAGGCTGAAGGGTTGGAGAACAAAGGAATCAGGTGACACCTGCCGGGAAAGGAACAAAGCCCAGAGGAGGAGGTGGAGGGTTTTCAGTTTGGGGTGTGGGACATGGAGTGAAGTGCAACGTGGTTGTCTGGTCACTGCCCCCAGAATGGACCCAGCTGAGGGTCCCGTTCTTGCACCTGCAAGCTCTGTTTTAGACCATGTTCCTGTCGCTAATAAACCTTCTGTTTTACTGGCTGGCTGAGAGTCACGTCTGACTGGTTGGGGCAGACTCTGGCTTCCCCAGGACCCCCTGAGCGGACTCTGTGGGAAGCGCACGGAGAGCAGAGGATGCTGAATGCTCCGAGGTCAGACCCAGGAAGGTGGAAGCTTGTGAGCTGTGTGTCCTGAAGACAGCTGCTCACAGAAAGGCGACTACCCCAGATCCTGACTGGCTTCATGGGGAGCAGTTCCAGACACCCCAGGGACCGTGACACCCCGAGACCCCTGTGGGGCAGAGCGCTGTGTCCTGTGGGACTGAACGGGCCGGGCCTGAGAGAGCCTGGGGGTAGGGGGGTCCCAAGGCCGGGGGGGCCCCCTCTCCCCCACCCCACTAACTGAGCTCTCAGGCTGCCATTAACCCCTCGCCTCCCAGCGTGTGGTTTGCACACCGCAGCCCCACGGGAGCCGGGCTGGGACCGTCCAGGCCAGGGCTTTCCAGCCTGGTCATGCGCGGCCCCCTTTGGAAATCCTGGCCGGCCTGTGCCCCCAGAGCTGAGACAAACGCTGCCCAGCCCGGGCGAGCAACCGGCGGACGCTGGCGCCTTAGATCCCGCCGGCGTCGGCCGCGCGCCAGGAGGGAGGGGGAGAAGAGGCAGGGCTGGGGCGGGGATTTGGGGAAGGGGTGGGAAGAGGCGGGGCCGGGGCCGGGGGTGGGGGTGTCAGTGATGTGGCCCTCGGGCCAAGGTACTAGTCCTCATGTGGCCTCGTGGTCATTTGAGTTTGAGATCCCTGGCCCAGTGGGACCTGCCCCTCGCCCTAGCAGCTGGGCGTGGCCTAGCGGAACCTGCCCCTCCCCCTAGCAGCTGGGCGTGGCCAAGCGGGACCTGCCCCCCAGTGGCTGGGCGTGGTCTAGCGGGACCTGCCCCTCCCCCTAGCAGCTGGGCGTGGCCAAGCGGGACCTGCCCCCCAGCGGCTGGGCGTGGTCTAGCGGGACCTGCCCCCCCCAGCGGCTGGGCGTGGCCTAGCAGGACCTGCCCCGCCCCCTCGCCGCTGGGCGTGGCCTATCAGGACCTGCCCCTCCCCCTAGCAGCTGCCCCCAGGTGCAGCAAAGAGGCTACTTGCGCAATCAGGCTCCCATTAACTCCTCATCTGCCAGTGTGGGGTTTATACCCCCGCCCCTTGGCTCTCCTGGCAATTAACCAGCTGCCCAGAGAGGGGGGCCAGAGGAGCTGTTGTGGGGGTGATGCCCAGCCTGGCCCGGCTGTCTCTTTCTCTCCCTCTGCCCCACACGGTGCCCCAGAGGGGGAGGTGGGTCACTGGGCCTGGGGGGGGTGTAACGCAGTGGGGAATGTTCTTGTTTTTTCAAGGGTTAGATGCAGAGTGCGTGGGACTCAGTTTCCCTGTGTTCTGTGTGTGTAATGAGGGGTAGGAGGGGGGTTTGTCATTGCAGAGGACCAGGTGTGACCTCGCCCAGCAGCCTGGACCCTGGGCACCGGCCTGGAGATGGGGGAGCCGGGGGCTGGTGACCGGGAGGCCCAGCCCAGCTTGGCAGCCAGCCGGTACTGGCCCGCGGGAGGACAAAGGGCTGAGGAGAGAGGAGCCCAGGTGACCTGTTTGCCTGGGACCGTAGACAAAGGACAGGGGAGGAGCTGTTGGGGGAGACAATTTCGGATGATCGGCTGGAAGTGGGGGGTGGCCAGAGCCCCCCTGGGTGCGGGACAGCCTAGATGTGCTGGGCTGAGACAGGCCAGGCCCGTGGGCCCGGAGAGCTTCCTGTGCTGGGGTCAGACGCTCAATGAACCTCCTGTTTTGCGCTGGCTGAGAGTCGCGGCAGGTTAGACATCGGGGGGGCTTTGCTCCCTCTGGGGGTGGAGGTCCCGGGGGCCCAGAGCGAGGGGACTCCCCGAGGGGCCCACGGCAGAGACAGGCTGCTGGCGGCTCAGAGAGGTGCGGCTCCAGGAGGTGGAGGGGCTGGACCCCCGAGAGAGAGGACCCCCGAGAAGGGCTGTCGCACTGAAGGGGGCACCCCAGGGGACCGCACGGGGCCGAGAGAGCCCGAGCCCTGGGAGTCTGTGCCAGGGGACCCCTCCTCACAGCTAGAAATGCTCTGGGAGCTCCAGGCCGTGGCCAGGCCTGGAGGTGGGTCACCCCAGCCCCGAGTTTCATGACTGGTCAGAAAGCCGTTCCCAGAGAGGAGTTCTCAGGGGTCACAGTCAGGCTGTGTGACTGTCACGGAGTCCCTGGGCGATGCTCTGGAACTGCTCCCCATGAAGCCAGTCAGGACTCTGGGGCAGTCGCCTTTCTGTGAGCAGCCTGTCTTCAGGACACACAACTCACACAGCTTCCACCTTCCTGGGTCTGACCTCGGAGCATTCAGCATCCTCTGCCCCTCCGTGCGCTTCCCCCCAGCGAGTCCGCTCAGGCGGGGCTCCTAGGGAAGCCAGAGGGTCCTGCACCCCAACTTTGCAGTCAGACGTGACTCTCAGTCAGCCAGTAAAACAGAAGGTTTATTAGACGACAGGAACATGGTCTAAAACAGAGCTTGCAGGTGCAGAGAACGGGACCCCTCAGCTGGGTCCATTTTGGGGGGCAGTGAGCCAGACAACCACGTCTGCACTTCACTCCATGTCCCAGCCAGCCCCAAACTGAAAACCCCCCAGCCCCTCCTCCTCTGGGCTTTGTTCCTTTCCCGGGCCAGGTGGTCACCTGATTCCTTTGTTCTCCAACCCTTCAGCTCTCACCTTGCAGGGGGGGAAGGGCCCAGGCCATCAGTGGCCAGGAAACAGGGTGTCGGCCATTCTCTGTGTCCAGACCCCTGCACACACCTGCCCTTTAGGGCTCTGCAACGATCATACACCCTTACCCCACCACCCTAGATACTTAAGAACTGCCTAGGGGAAACTGAGGCACCCCCACACTATTCAGAGGAAACATTAAGAACAGTCCCACTTCGTCACATCTCTCCCCCTTCGAGATCGAACTGAGCGGGGTCACTTTAGCCGGTGACCTGGGGAAGTTCGAAGCCACCAACGTTCCCATGGATGCCCCAGCATCTCTCCCATTCTTTGGTAGGAGTTACACCAGGCCCTTCCAGTTTCACACCCTCCCTTAGGTCAGGGGTGGTCGATAGCACTCACAGGCCGCATGTGGGAAGGTTTATGCAGCCCATGCCCTTTGGCCACCCCAAGAATGTCTCCCCATTGACCATCACCTTCTGCTCCCACTGGAGGTCCGAGGGGCCTGGCCCCAGGAAACTCCACACAGACATATAGGTTGGGGTCAGGAGTGGGAGCCTGTCCACATCCCCAACCATCTGGCTGACGGAGTCTATGGCCTTGGGACCCAGCAAGGGAGCTAGACACCGGGGCTTTTCCGCAGGGTCCCCCTGGTTCAAATCGCCAGCCTGCTCAAAGGCAGTGAGGTGGGCATCCACACCCCCCCCTCCTTAACCAGGGGCAGCAATTTAGTCTCGAGGTTCCCTGCGGAACTGGCCCCCCGGGGTCTATCCCCACTCACCCCTGGGAGGTCCCCTAGGCCTCTCCGCTCCCCCACCGCCAGTTCATGCTGCTGCTGCTTCTGCAGCTCTTTCTCGGGCTTTCGCTGTCTCAGTGACGAAGCGGGACTGTCCTTAATGTTTCCTCTGAATAGTGTGGAGGTGCCTCAGTTTCCCCTAGGCAGTTCTTAAGTATCTAGGTGGTGGGATAAGGGTGTATGATCCTTGCAGAGCCCTAGAGGGCAGGTGTGTGCAGGGGTCTGGACACAGAGAATGGCCGACACCCTGTTTCCTGGCCACTGATGGCCTGGGCCCTTCCCCCCTGCAAGGTGAGAGCTAAAGGATTGGAGAACAAAGGGATCTGGTGCCCTCCTGGCCCGGGAAAGGGACAAAGCCCAGAGGAGGAGGGAGTGGAGAGAGTTTCAGTTTGGGGCTGGCTGGGGACGAGGAGTGAAGTGCAGACGTGGTTGTCTGGCTCACGGCCCCCCAAAATGGACCCGGCTGAGGGGTTCTGTTCTCTGCACCTACAAGCTCTGTGTTAGACCATGTTCCTGTCGTCTAATAAACCTTCTGTTTTACTGGCTGGCTGAGAGTCACGTCTGACTGCGGAGTTGGGGGGCAGGACCCTCTGGCTTCCCCAGGACCCCGCCTGGGTGGGCTCGCTATGGGAAGCACACGGAGAGGCAGAGGAGGCTGAATGCTCCGAGGTCAGACCCAGGAAGGTGGAGCCGGGTGAGCTGTGTGTCCTGCAGACAGGCTGCTCCCCGAGAGGAGACTCCCCAGAGTCCTGCCTGGCTTCGTGGGGAGCAGTTCCAGAGCATCGCCCGGGGACGCCGAGACAGGCTGGACGAGCATAACGAGTGGGGTCCCGCAGGGATCAGTTCTGGGTCCGGTTCTGTTCAATCTCTTCATCAATGATTTAGATAATGGCACAGAGAGTACACTGATAAAGTTTGCTGAGGATACCAAGCTGGGAGGGGTTGCAAGTGCTTTGGAGGATAGGATTGAAATTCAAAATGATCTGGACAAACTGGAGAAATGGTCTGCAGTAAACAGGATGAAATTCAAAAAGGACAAATGCCAAGTCCTCCACTTGGGAAGGAACAATCGGTGACACACACACAATGGGCAATGACGGCCTAGGAAGGAGCACTGCGGAAAGGGATCCGGGGGTATCCTGGAGTCGTAGACTGGGGGCTTGGGCACCCGCTGCATGACACCAGCCAGGGCTCTGGGCAGCGTCTCCCCTCAGGGCCACTCGCCAGGGCCAGGAGCCTGCCCGGCTTCAGCCCCTCCTAGGTCTGACCTCGGAGCACTCAGCCCCCTGCTCCCCCCGGGAACTCCCCGCAGCGAGTGCCCCTGGACGGGACCCCCAGGGAGCCTCCCCCACAAAGGGCCCTGCCCCCTCTGAGTCCCCAACTAGGAGACTGAGTCGCTTCTAGCAGCCCAGCCTCCGTCACCCCCAGCTGCCCCCCCGCGGCCTTTGTCTCCTTCCTGGGCAAACAGGTCCCCTGGTCTCTGTTCTCCAGCACCGCTGGCTGGCTCCGGCAGGGGACAGGCTCAGGCCATCAGCTGCCAGGCTACAGGGTGTCGGCTGGTCTCTGTGCCCCGTTAGCCAGTCGGCATCACACCTGCCCTCTGGGGGTCCCTGCAACGATCACACCCCCTGTCCCACCCCCTAGATACTGGAGTAACACAGGAGAAACTGAGGCACACACACTATTCAGAGAAAACATTAAAAACATTCCCACTTTGTCCCAAGGGGTCAGAGTCGACCACAAGCTAAAAGAGTCAACAGTGTAACACTGCTACAAAATAAGCGTGCGTCATTCTGGGCTCTATTAGCAGGAGTGTCGTAAGCCGGACACGAGCCGTAATTCTTCCGCTCTGCTCCGCGCTGATTAGGCCTCAAGTGGAGTCTTGCGTCCAGTTCTGGGCGCCACATTGCAGGAAAGACGTGGACAAAGTGGAGCAAGTCCAGAGAAGAGCAACAAAAATGCTGTAAGGTCTAGATTGAAAAACGTGGGTTTGTTGAGTCTGGAGAGGAGAGACCGAGGGGGGACCCGAGAGCAGTTTCCAAGTCCATAAAAGGCCGTTATAAAAAGGAGGGTGATAAATTGTTCTCCTCAGCCGCTGAGCACAGGACCAGGAGCCAGGGGTTAAATTGCAGCCAGGCCGGCTCAGGCTGGACATTGGGAAAATCTTCCTCACTCTCAGGGCGGTTAAGCCCGGGGGGCCGTCCGTCATCGGAGGGTTTGGGAGCAGGCCTGACGCTCCTCGGCCAGGGCTGGGCGAGGGAATACAGAGCCCTGCCTCCGCGCAGGGACTGGGCCACAGGGCTAGCGAGGGCCCAGCCAGCCCTTCGTGGCTGGGAGTCCATGGCCTGGCAGGCCCAGCGACTGACTTGTAGCTCTTCCCAGCCATGCTGCATGGGGCTTTGCCAATGGGGCATGTCGAGCAACCTCAGCCAGCCCCTTCAATGCCCACGCTTTTGGGCCTCCCAGCCCTTCCCCACCAGGAGCCATTCCCTGCCTGCCCCCTATTTCTGGGGGTGCCTTTTGGGCCAGGTGCTGTGCCTGGGAAAAACCCAGGGCCATGGCCCCAGCCCCCACCAGAGCCCGTTCCCTGGAAATCAGACCCAGCTACCCATTCTGCCTTTATTCTGATTCCCCCCAGGGCCTGTCCCCACCAGCCATGGCCCAGCACACCCCCATTCTCCAAAAACCTCCTGCCCCCACCATGGCCCAGCACCCCCCCGGGCACCGCCATGGCCCACCTGTCACGGCGTCCCCAGGCAATGCTCTGGAACGGCTCCCTACGAAGCCAGGCAGGGCTCTGGGAGAGTCTCCTCTCGGGGAGCAGCCTGTCTGCAGGACACACAGCTCCCCCGGCTTCCACCTTCCTGGGTCTGACCTCGGAGCATTCAGCCTCCTCTGCCCCTCCGTGTGCTTCCCACAGCGAGTCCGCCCAGGCGAGGTCCTGGGGGGGCCAGAGGGTCCTGCCCCCCAACTCCACAGTCAGACGTGACTCTCAGCCAGCCAGTGAAACAGGAGGTTTATTAGCCGACAGGAACATGGTCTAACACAGAGCTTGTAGGTGCAGAGAACCGGACCGCTCAGCTGGGTCCATTTTGGGGCCAGTGAGCCAGACAACCACGTCTGCCCTTCACTCCTCATCCCCAGCCAGCCCCAAACTGAAACCCCCTCCAGCCCCTTCTCCTCTGGGCTTTGTCCCTTTCCCGGGCCAGGAGGGCACCGGATTCCTTTGTTCTCCAACCCTTCAGCTCTCACCTTGCAGGGGGGGAAGGGCCCAGGCCATCAGTTGCCAGGAAGCAGGGTGTTGGCCATTCTCTGTGTCCAGACCCCTGCACACACCTGCCCTCTAGGGCTCTGCAATGATCATACACCCTTACCCCACCACCTAGATACTTAAGAACTGCATAGGGGAAACTGAGGCACCCCCACACTATTCAGAGGAATCATTAAGAACAGACCCGCTTCATCACACCATCACACTGGCTCCCAGGGCTCTGCCACAATCACACCCCTGATCCTCCCACCTAGAGACTTAAGAACTGTGTAGGGGAAACTGAGGCACCCACACAGTATTCAGAGAAAACATTAAGAACATTCCCACTTCGTCACAGCAGCACCTCCCCGTTCCCCAAACACCCCCCGTCCCCCGCCATGGCCCAGCACCCTCCCCGTGCCCCAAACACCCCTTCCCAACTGCCCTGTGCTCCAAGCACTCGCAGTCCCTCCCCCACTTCTGCTCTCCAATGCAAGTCCCAGGCCTGACCCATCTCGGCCCTGGGGCTCTGCTCTGCCCTTCCCCCAGCGTCGGCTCAGCTCCTTGATCACCAGGGTCCAGCGATGCCCCTGCACCCGTCTCTGGCTCCTCCAGCCCCCCGGCTGCCAGGCTCTGCCCCCCGGAAGGCCCAAGGCCAGGCCTGGCGTCCGGCACATCGCAGGGGATCTGGGCTGGCGCTGGGTCCCCTGCAGCAGGGAGCATGAGTCCGCTGGGCCCAGGGGCCACGCTCCCCGCACGGCTCTAAATCTATTAGCTTCGCATAATTAGATTTTTCTCAATTACCAGATTATGATAATTAACCGCTCATTTGTAGGAGCCAGCACTAATCCGGCATCCATCTGGCACGCTGCCAGGCTGTGCATGTGTCTCCAGGATCACAGACCCCGGAGCAAACAGTGAGGGGCATCGAGGCAGCGGGGCTGGGAGCCGGGGGGAGGTATCAGACCCTGCCCTGCTCCCCCTCGCCAGCCCTGACCCACCCCCGGACCCTGCCCTGCTCCCCCCACCAAGCCCTGACCCACCCCCGACCCCTGCCCTGCTCCCCCCACCAAGCCCTGACCCACCCCCAGCCCCTGCCCTGCTCCTCTGCCCCCAGCTCTGACCCACCCCAAGCTGTTAGAATTCACTGAGGGGTCAACAAGCGTGTGGACAAGGGGGACCCAGTGTCTGTAGGGTACTTAGACTGTCAGAAAGCCTTTGACAACGTCCCTCACCAAAGGCTCTTACGCAAAGTAAGCTGTTTCCCGGCGTCCCCGGGCAATGCTCTGGAACTGCTCCCTACGAAGCCAGTCAGGACTCTGGGGAAGCCTCCTTTCTGGGAGCAGCCTGTCTGCAGGACACACAGCTCACACAGCTTCCACCATCCTGGGTCTGACCTTGGAGCATTCAGCATCCTCTGCCCCTCCGTGCGCTTCCCACGGCCAGTCCGCTCAGGCGGGGCTCCTGGGGAAGCCAGAGGGTCCTGCACCCCAGCTCCGCAGTCAGATGGGACTCTCAACCAGCCAGTGTGATAAAGTGGGACTGTTCTGAATGTTTCCTCTGAATAGTGTGGGGGTGCCTCAATTTCCCCTAGGCAGTTCTTAAGTATCTAGGGGGTGGGGTAAGGGTGTATGATCGTTGCAGAGCCCTAGAGGGCAGGTGTGTGCAGGGGTCTGGACACAGAGAATGGCCGACACCCTGTTTCCTGGCACCTGATGGCCTTGCCCTTCCCCCCTGCAAGGTGAGAGCTGGGGCAAGGCCCCTCAGACCTCCAGTGGGAGCAGGAGGTGATGGTCAATGGGGAGACATTCCTGGGGTGGTGAGATCCTGGGAGAGAGATGTGATGAAGTGGGACTGTTCTTAATGTTTCCTCTGAATAGTGTGGGGGTGCCTCAGTTTCCCCTAGACAGTTCTTAAGTATCTAGGGGGTGGAGTAAGGGTGTACGATCATTGCAGAGCCCTAGAGGGCAGGTGGGTGCAGGGGTCTGGACACAGAGAATGGCCGACACCCTGTTTCCTGGCCACTGATGGCCTGGGCCCTTCCCCCTGCAAGGTGAGAGCTAAAGGGTTGGAGAACAAAGGAATCCGGTGACCACCTGGCCCGGGAAAGGAAAAAAGCCCAGAGGAGGAGGGGCTGGAGGGAGTTTCAGTTTTGGGGCTGGCTGGGGACATGGAGTGAAGGGCAGACGGGGTTGTCTGGCTCACTGCCCCCCAAAATGGACCCAGCTGAGGGGTCCCGTTCTCTGCACCTACAAGCTCGGTTTTAGACCATGTTCCTGTCGTCTAATAAACCTCTGTTTTACTGGCTGGCTGAGAGTCAGGGCTGAGAGCCCTGACTGGCTTCATGGGGAGCAGTTCCAGAGCATCGCCCAGGGACTCCGTGACAAGAGAGAACTGTTGTCAGGCCCTGGGTGGTGCAGCCTCAGATGCTGAGGGGCTGTGTGAGCTGGGTGAGGGTCCCAGGGACGAAGCCCCTCGCCCTGCCTATGGCCCAGATCCCTGTGCAGACCCAGGAGGGGTGGGGCTGGCTGGTCGTTGGGGTTCTCCAGGACACCAGCTGCGAGACCCTGTTGTGGGGTGACTGTGTCTCTTTGGGACAGGATCCAGACCCTGCTCCTGTAAGGGCCAAGGGTTTGAATTTGAATCCAGGGAACCAATCGGTGGAGAGGGAAATGGTCAGTGAAAATGCAGGTGACCTGGCTGGCAGGGGGGAGGAGCGGCTAGGCTCAGGCTACCTGCCTGCCTGTGACCAGTCCCCTGGGGCTGGGTGAGACAGAGAGATGCTCCCTGCCCCCTTGCACACCGGAGAGGGGGCTCACGCTGGCTCTGATGCAGTGAGGAAAGCAGCGAGCTCGCTGCCTACCCCCACTGGGACAGCAAGGGCAGCGCTGAGCACAATGGGAGCTGAGACCCCAGCTGAGGTGGGGGGAGACACAGGCAGGGCAGGGCAGGTCGGCTGCCAACCAGGTTTGCCTTGTCCAGAGGCGCTGCTGGGAAGTGATCCCACAGCAGGGAGGGAGCGACCAGGGACAGGGCTCAGCGGGGCTGTGACCCCAGGCCCAGCCAGCAAGAGGGGAGACTGGGGAGCTGAGTCTGCAGAGCAGAACAGCTGGGCAGTTAATCTCTCGAGAATGCAGGGGATGGCAGGTCCACTCTCATCTCTAGACACTTTGGATAGGACTTGTCGTCTCTCAGTGAATTTAACATCCGGTTCCTTGTGGAAGCAGAGGTTGGTAAGGGAAGGAAAACAGAGCTTGGAGAGCACAGCTTGTAAAAGGGAACCTGAGAAGTGTAAGGTGGAGATAATCAGAGAGTGGCCTGTTCCCCAGACCACGGAACAGGGCCAGGCCTTTATTGGGATGGCAGGGTACTACCGGGGGGTTTGTACCCCACGTGAGCTCCCCAGCTGCCCCCATCACTGAGCTGTGTAAGAAGGGGAAGCCAGACGAGCTGCTCTGGACCGAAAAGTGCCAGGGGCTCTCTGTGTGTTGAAGAGGAGGATTTGTGGCACCTTAGAGACTAACCAATTTATTTGAGCATAAGCTTTCGTGAGCTACAGCTAACTTCATCGGATGCATACTATGGAAAGTGTAGAAGATCTTTTTATACACAAAGCATGAAAAAATACCTCCCCCCACCCCACTCTCCTGCTGGTAATAGCTTATCTTTTCATGCTTATCTTTTCATGCTTTGTGTGTATAAAACGATCTTCTACACTTTCCACGGTATGCATCCGATGAAGTGAGCTGTAGCTCACGAAAGCTTATGCTCAAATAAATTGGTTAGTCTCTAAGGTGCCACGAGTACTCCTTTTCTATTTGCGAATACAGACTAACACGGCTGTGTCACGGAGTCCCCGGGCGATGCTCTGGAACTGCTCCCCATGAAGCCAGTCAGGACTCCGGGGCAGTCGCCTTTCTGTGAGCAGCCTGTCTTCAGGACACGCAGCTCACACAGCTTCCACCTTCCTGGGTCTGACCTCGGAGCATTCAGCCTCCTCTGCCCCTCCGTGCGCTTCCCCCAGCGAGTCCGCTCAGGCGGGGCTCCTGGGGAAGCCAGAGGGTCCTGCACCCCAACTTCGCAGTCAGACGTGACTCTCAGCCAGCCAGTAAAACAGAAGGTTTATTAGACGACAGGAACATGGTCTAACACAGAGCTTGCAGGTGCAGAGAACGGGACCCCTCAGCTGGGTCCATTTTGGGGGGCAGTGAGCCAGACAACCACGTCTGCCCTTCACTCCATGTCCCAGCCAGCCCCAAACTGAAAACCCCCTCCAGCCCCTCCTCCTCTGGGCTTTGTTCCTTTCCCGGGCCAGGTGGTCACCTGATTCCTTTGTTCTCCAACCCTTCAGATCTCACCTTGCAGGGGGGGAAGGGCCCAGGCCATCAGTTGCCAGGAAACAGGGTGTCGGCCATTGTCTGTGTCCAGACTCCTGCACACACCTGCCCTCTAGGGCTCTGCAACGATCATACACCCTTACTCCACCCCCTAGATACTTAAGAACTGCCTAGGGGAAACTGAGGCACCCCCACACTATTCAGAGGAAACATTAAGAACAGTCCCACTTCGTCACAGGCTGCTACTCTGAAACCTCTATGTTGAAGGAGGCTCTAATCCAAGGACTGGTAAATCTGGTAACCCCAACTTTGCCAAGGCCTTTAGAGTGTTCACCAATGCCTCAGACACAGGGCTGGATGCGGGGCTGATGCCGAGCTGCTGGTGACAGAGACACCTGGCCAGAGGGTGGCCCAGGTCAAGATGGGGGCTCTTAACCAAGACAGCCCAAACTACAGCCCTCCAGACTGGAGCGCTGGGAGAAGACCCTATCCCAGTTTGACCCCCGGGGGTTTTGGGGTGGCAAAAGGGCACGGGCTGCATAAACCTTCCCACATGCAGCATGAGAGTGCTATCGACCACCCTGGACCTAAGGGAGGGTTTGAAACAGGAAGGGCTTACAACTGGAAGGGCCTGGTGTAACTCCCACCAAGGAATGGGAGAGATGCTGGGGCATCCATGGGAACGTTGGTGGCTTCGAACTTCCCCAGGTCACCAGCTAAAGTGACCCCGCTCAGTTCGGTCTTGAAGGGGGGAGAGATGTGACGAAGCGGGACTGTTCTTAATGTTTCCTCTGAATATTATGGGGATGCCTCAGTTTCCTGTAGGCAGTTCTTAAGTATCTAGGTGGTGGGATAAGGGTGTATGGTCATTGCAGAGCCCTAGAGGGCAGGTGTGTGCAGGGGTCTGGACACAGAGAATGGCCAACACCCTATTTCCTGGCCACTGATGGCCTGGGCCCTTCCGCCCTGCAAAGTGAGAGCTAAAGGGTTGGAGAACAAAGGAATCCGGTGCCCTCCTGGCCGGGGAAAGGGACAAAGCCCAGAGGAGGGGCTGGAGGGTGATGCAGTTTGGGGCTGGCTGGGGACATGGAGTGAAGGGCAGACGGGGTTGTCTGGCTCACTGCCCCCCAAAATGGACCCAGCTGAGGGGTCCTGTTCTCTGCACCCACAAGCTCTGTTTTAGACCATGTTCCTGTCGTCTAATAAACCTCTGTTTTACTGGCTGGCTGAGAGTCCCGTCTGACTGCGGAGTTGGGGGGCAGGACGAAGTTGAGGGGCACCTCTGGCTTCCCCAGGACCCCGCCTGGGCGGACTGGCTGTGGGAACCGCACAGAGGGGCAGAGGAGGCTGAATGCTCTGAGGTCAGACCCAGGAAGGGGGAAGCCGGGTGAGCTGTGTGTCCTGAAGACAGGCTGCTCACAGAAAGGCGACTTCCCCAGAGTCCTGCCTGGCTTCGTAGGGAAGACTACGGAGGACTTCCCGGCCCGGGGACTCCGTGACAGCCAGTAAAACAGAAGGTTTATTAGATGACAGGATCACAGCCCAAAACAGAGCTTGTACTTATAGGAAATAGGACCCCTCAGTCAGGTCCATCTTGGGGCCAGGGAGGCCAGACCCTGGCTCTGGGCCTCCCTCTCTTTCCCCAGCCAGCTCCAAACTGAAACTCTCCTGCCCCTCCTGCCCTCTCCTGCCCCTCCTCTCCTTTGTCTCTTTCCCGGCCTGATCCCTCCTTCAGTTGGCAGAGGAGTGGCCCAGACCATCAGTGGCCAGGAGACAGGGTGTCAGCCATTCTCTGCCTAGACAGCCTCACACTGACCCTCTGGGCTCTGCCACAATCACACACCCTTTTCCCAGTGTCTAGATACTTAAGAAAGACATAGGGGAAACTGAGGCACCCACATTGTATTCAGAGAGAACATTAAGAACAGCCACACTTCGTCACAAGCTGTCATGGGATAAGAGGGAAGGTCCACTCATGGATCGGTAACTGATTAAAAGACAGGAAACAAAGGGGAGGAATAAATGGTCAGTTTTCAGAATGGAGAGAAGTAAATAGCAGGGTCCCCCAGGGGTCTGTACTGGGACCAGCCCTATTCAACATAGTCATAAACGATCTGGAAAAAGGGGTGAACAGCGAGGTGGCAAAGTTTGGAGATGATACAAAACTACTCAGGATAGTTAAGCCCAAAGCAGCCTGCGAAGAGCTACAAGGAATCTCACTAAACAGGGTGACGGGGCAGCAAAATGGCAGATGAAATTCAGGGCAGGTCTACACTTGAAACGCTGCGCGGATGCAGCTGAGCTGTATAGCACTTTGCTGAAGATGCTCTGAGTCAGGGCGACGCGCTCCGGCCGACGGGGGAGTTAGGTCAGTGTCACGACATCCTGCCCACCCGAGTGACGGCGTTGACGTAAGGCCGCCGTGTAGACCAGACCGAACTGTTGACAAATGCAAAGTGGAAAACATCATCCCAGCTACACATACAATATGATGGGTGTAAATTAGCTGTGACCCCTGGAGAGAGATCATAGAATCATAGAATATCAGGGTTGGAAGGGATCTCAAGAGGTCATCTAGTCCAACCCCCTGCCCAGAGCAGGACCGATCCCCGACTAAATCATCCCAGCCAGGGCTTTGTCAAGCCTGACCTTAAAAACTTCTAGGGAAGGAGATTCCACCACCTCCCTAGGCAACGCATTCCAGTGTCTCACCACCCTCGTGGTGAAAAAGTTTTTCCTAATAGCCAACCTAAATCTCCTCCACTGCAACTTGAGACCATTACTCCTCGTTCTGTCATCTGCTACCATTGAGAACAGTCTAGAGCCATCCTCTTTGGAACCCCCTTTCAGGTAGTTGAAAGCAGCTATCAAATCCCCCTCATTCTTCTCTTCTGCAGGCTAAACATCCCCAGTTCCCTCAGCCTCTCCTCATAAGTCATGTGTTCCAGTCCCCTAATCATTTTTGTTGCCCTCCGCTGGACTCTTTCCAATTTTCCACATCCTTCTTGTAGTGGGGGGCCCAAAACTGGACACAGTACTCCAGATGAGTCCTCACCAATGTCAAATAGAGGGAAATGATCACGTCCCTTGATCTGCTGGCAATGCCCCTATGTATACATCCCAAAATGCCATTGGCCTTCTTGGCAGCAAGGGCACACTGCTGACTCATATCCAGCTTCTCGTCCACTGTCACCCCTAGGTCCTTTTCCGCAGAACTGCTGCTTAGCCATTCGGTCCCTAGTCTGTCGCGGTGCATGGGATTCTTCCGTCCTAAGTGCAGGACTCTGCACTTGTCCTTGTTGAACCACCTCAGATTTCTTTTGGCCCAATCCTCTAATTTGTCTAGGTCCCTCTGTATCCTATCCCTACCCTCCAGCGTATCCACCTCTTCTCCCAATTTAGTGTCATCCGCAAACTTGCTGAGGGTGCAATCCACACCATCCTCCAGATCATTTATGACGATATTGAACAAAACCGGCCCCAGGACCGACCCCTGGGGCACTCCACTTGACACCGGCTGCCAACTAGACATGGAGCCATTGATCACTACCTGTTGAGCCCGACAATCTAGCCAGGAGATGCGGCGGGAGAGTTCCCTGAAAACATCCACTCAATGCGCAGCAGCCGTCAAGAAAGTGACCAGAATGTCGGGAACCCTGAGGAACGGGAGAGACAAGAACATCCCAGTCCCTCTGTTGCAGGCTGTGTAGCCGTGTGGGTCCCAGGATGCTAGAGAGACAAGGTGCGGGAGGGGGGAGCTTTTATTGGACCCACTTCTGCTGGGGCGAGAGACAAGCTGTGAAGCCAGGCAGAGCTCTTCTTCAGGCCTGGGAAAGGTCCCGCAGCATCACAGCTAAGTGCCAGGTGGAAGGGCTTTAGCAGGTATTCTAAGGGACCATGCAAGGTGGAGGGGCCCATTTACACCTCTGCAGTCATACGACAAAAGGGGGTTAGCAGGTGACAGATTGTTGTAAGAAACCATAAATCCCGTGTCTCTGGTCAGTCCATGAGTTTTAGTGTCGAGCAGAGTGATGATTTTAAGCTCCAAGGCTTGTCTTTGGAGAGTGTTTCCCCTGAGGCTGAGGAGGGAGAGGTCAGACATGGAGCAATCACTTTGTGAGAAGTGTTCACCCAGAGGTGACAGGGTGTTTTTGTCTTTTATCATTTTCCGGTATGAGTTCATTCGAGAGCGCAGTGATTGTCTGACCATATCATCAAACAACTACACCCCATCCTGAAAGAAATCTTTCCCGAGCCTCCACTTCTGGCCTTCAGACAACCCCCAGCCTCTCCACGCTCAGCATCAGAAGCAGGCTCCCCACAGACCAGGGCTCAGCAACTCAAAGCGGTGCGAGACCCTATCAGAGCAAGAGATGGAAAACCTGCAGCCATAGCTCCATTGTTACAATGATCGGCACCCCCCACCCCCCGGAACGAAGTGGGATCTTGGCGGGACACAACTGAGAGTATCAATCCAGGACAAATTGCTTAGAGCAGGTCAGTCACAGCCCCAGGCTGGGGGTCCTTGGCACACCCAGGCAAACCAAACTAGCCAGCCAAAGAGGACTTCGGTCTCGCCCCACTGGCTAACCACAAGTCACACAAGCAATTCCCTCAGACACCCCAGTTTCCCAGTATCACCACCAGGGCCACTCGTTATGGGGACAGATGGTTATGAAAACCGATACCCCAGTAAAAGAACAAAGCTTCTCTCGATCCCAAAGGACCAAGCCCCAGACCCCGGTCAATGTACAAGTCAGATCTTACCCACAAATCATGCTGTTGTCCATCCTTTAGAATCTAAAATCTAAAGGTTTCTTCATAAAAGGAAAAGATACAGATGAGAGCTAGAATGGGTTAAATGGACTCAATGACATAGTCATGGCCAAGCTCTTGGTTCGGGCTTGTAGCAGTGATGGAATAAACGGCAGGTTCAAATCCAGTCTCTGGAGAACATCCCCAGCTGGGGTGGATCCTTCAGTCCTTTGTGCAGAGCTGCAGAGTAGCAAAGTCCCTCCAGAGATAAGAAGAAGGATTGAAGACATAATGGAGGGGTTTCCGCGGCCTTTTATATTCTTTCTCTTATGAGTGGAAACCCCTTTTTTCTGACTGTGGAAGATCACAGCAGCAAGATGGAGTCTGGAGTCACATGGGCGAGTCACATGTCCGAGCATGACTCAGTTTGCAGGCCGGGACGCCATTGTTTACATGTGAGTTTGAACCTTCCCAGGAAGGCTCAGGTGTGGATTGGCATCTCCCAAAGTCCGTTGTCAGTTAAGTGTTTCCTGATTGGGCACTTGCTGAGAATTGCCCTTGCTCAAGGAGCTGACCAAATGCTTCCCTGAGGCTACTTAGAATCAAACACATTGAGATACAAGTGCAGAGCCAATATCCAAACATCAACTACAAAACTGACAGATGCACACAGACGGCATAATCCAAACCAGCAAACCATGCCCTTGTCCTAGACACCTGTCGCCACCCTTTGTACAACATTTGCTGCAAATATATAACAGTGGTTGCAACAATGATCTATACGGTCACAGTTTATGTCAATAATGTCACACCCCTAGACACCTTCCAAGATCCATGGGTCCCTACACATGGGATAAAGTGGGAATATTCTTAATGTTTTCTCTGAATCCGATGAAGTGAGCTGTAGCTCACGAAAGCTTATGCTCAAATAAATTGGCTAGTCTCTAG